AYCYTTAKYKTCAGAWATKARGMAAWTCWTTCTACGCAGAAAATMRYRTTWTTTTTKMGTTTTCRMTTAAAAWMCTTTKWSMAKCTTAGAATTATGGACAAAACCCTAATAATTATTTCWKGGTATTTTTCCMAAAATATTTTCCCCGAACTGARAAAGCGAAAATTTATAATCTTTTATTTGGAAAACTCTTGGAAACTGGTTTCTTCACTTTAGGTCAACACTGTCTCTAAACAGCAAAATCGCGTTTTTCCTAACGTTTTACTGTTAAATACTGGCAAACTGAATCTTTTATGCAAAAAAATTAAGAGATCAATTTTTCTTTGGACTCAGTTCTGTTGCTGGGAAAATCTAGATGACACTTTTTTGGTTGTTTGAACAAAGTAGTAAAACGTTACGCAGAAAAAATGCTAATGACCGTTTTTTAGATCTGAAATTGATTCCACGCGGGTCTCGTAAAGCTTTAATAAATGACTTTATAAGTCATTAACCGATGAGTTATAACTCGTTAACTCAGAGAGCGGCAACAACTCAATAGCGCAACTCAACACAGTGTTACCTAGGCCTAGTTATTGTACAATGTTTCCATGAAACCCTGTACGTACTCCCTAGGACAACATCTAATCTGTTTTCCTTTCGATCGGCTCGCTGCAGATTAAAGAATGGCGTCGTTTTAAGTGGAAAATTAATCCCTGCTTAGGTTTCCACAATAAAGAGCAGTGAATTTCCAGTTTTAGTTTCCCTGCTCGGTCCCGTTTTTTCAGGGGGGGGGCGCAAACTTTTCCCATTTCTCACCACCCCCCCTGTTCTCCCGGTTCGTAATGACGTCATTGAGCGCCCCGAAAATTCTGTTTCCATTCAGAAATAAATTGGAGGTCCGCCATACTTGTTGCCGCATTCCAGTTACTACGTCAGATCGCTATTTACGTCAATGGTTTTATTAGCTTGGCTGCGATTTAAGGGACAACGGTTTTTCCCATAAACTCGATAGCTTCCATTCGAAAATACTTGTTTGCTCCAGTCAGCTTTTTCGTCAAGCTAAATACGTAAATCAATAGGGACATAATATAATTCGGTAGTTCCGGAATTGCGTTGGCGGGCTCCAGCACAGTGTTGCCAGTTGGTTTGCCTGGATTTTTTATCCATGGAGCTAGATCGTAAAACGACCCCACTTTCTTATAGCAAATTTCAGTCTTTGACGTTTCGTTTTCCAGAACCATCATCAATTGGGTGTTTTTACATGCGGTTCAATTTGTTTATTAGAAAATTATAAAAACACATTTACGGTTTTGCAACGAGGTGATGCACGTGTAAATATTTGCTCACGTTTTATCAATTGTGAACAGTCACCCGGTTTGTGGGGCTGCTGGTGCTTTGAAAAAAGAAACAGACTGAATTAGTATAAATGTAAAAGGACTGCGCAGTTACGTAAAAGAAATCAAGTCGTAGTTGGTAAAATTAGAAATATTCGCAATAAAATAGAAGATTTGAATCAAAAAAGTCATTCTGACCTGTAAAACTTAGAGAGAAACTCTATATTCCGGGCAGTTACTACGAAACAAAAAGTTCAGCAAAACATTCCAGTGAAAAAAAGCAAAGGCCAAGCGGTTTAGAAAAACCTCGAACATTCTGTAAAACATTACAAAAACTGTCAATCAATGCATGGCTTGCATCGGGTTAGGAAACTTTTTCTGCACAAAAAAAGTCACGCGACATTCCCCATAAAAGTGGATGAAATGGGACCCTGTACATTCTACAATTCAGATGGAAAATTGATATTCGACTTGGCTAATAAAAATAATTGGCTTTAAAAAATGACGTTGATGATGGTGGTTGAGACCGAAATGTTGGTCTCAATTTCCACGCCGAGTGTCTGCTCGGATTTGCTCCTGTTTTGATATCAACAGCTCAGAAATAATAGTTCCGATATTTCCAACTCCTCATCCTCCATGTCTGTTGTGTGCGTTTAATTAACATCCACTTAACCGCATTAATGGAAACATGGAAGATTGACGTAAATGGTAGGAGGTGGCAACAGGGTCCGCCCACGTGAGATTCATTCATGCCGCCCCCGACAAAGGGCCATGACGTCACCGGACTGGTGGGTATCCAGGCAACGTTCAGGACCCGACGCCGTGCAAGACGTTCCTTGTTGCACGATGCAGGCGGAAATGTGTTGCGGGGGCGGCACCCGAAAAAATTGAATTTTTATTTAGGAATAATCGCTTTTGCCTTGAGAACACACTTACTTAATAAGACAATACTTTAATTGATTGATGGTTTCCAGAAACAGCTGGTGGTACACGATTTTGCATAATTTCGCGCAAAGATAAGATAACGATTATATTAGCAAATCTTTTGTCATTTAGAGCAGTTGGTTCCGTTCTACTGCCTGTAACAGGCTCGCCTCCTCCGGCTTCCAGAAAAAGCTTTTCGCGTAGTTTAAGTGTACTCAATGCGCGACCAAATGGTGCATCAACTGCTCCAACATCTTGCGTTGAATTATTTTAGCCTGGATCAAGAGGTAATTACTCACGGATTATCTCGCCGGCCTGCAGAATTGCAGCCTCTAAACCAATAGATAGACGGAAGTATTATTGAAAGCTCGCAGCCAAGCCAAGTGATTTACTGGAAATAATAATACCGACAGCTGTTCGATACTCAAACAACCGTCTCTTATGTAAACTTGTCGTTGTATGACCGGTGAAGCACGACAACTTAAGGCAGGTCAAGATGGAGCGTGACTAGCCGAAGAAAAACAATTGAGGCGTGAACCGGCTCATTCCACTGTACTTAAGATGCATTTTCTTGCACGGCATGGTTCATGTTGGACGCGAATAACGATCGACTTCCCGCTCCCAAATATCATCTAGCTGGGTTTTCTGCATGAAAGTGTTCGTTAATTTGGAAGCCCGTAACATCTCGATTAACATCCCACACAAGCGTGTGCGTGTTATTAATGGGACACCCTCATGCAGGTGTTGGCCAAACCGGTCAGATTGCATAAAATTTGAACGTGCTTTGAAAGTACAAGCTTTTAGGCGTGTCCCCAGCAAACAACACCAGAACCATCTACATACCTTTGCGTTTGGCTGGTGAAACCTCCAAAAATCACCATGAGGGGTTTGTTTAACCAATGCCGCAAGTTCCGCTAATCTCTTCTCGTTTTTCGTTAACCTCGTACAGAGTGAGTTTTTTTCGATGACCAGTACATGGATCTGCGAAACTATAGCAGTTACGAACAAGGTTAAATGGACAAAGAACTGTTGTTTCGATAGCAAGAAATAATAACAACTTCTTTCCATTTTTGACATTCAAGTTAGGCCTGAGTTGGCGCAATGCTACGCAGATGGCTGGGTGCGCCAACCCAAGGCACCTGCGCCGTAACTCAGTTTTGTTGCTGGGAAAATGTCGATGACTTTTTTTACTTGTTTTTAGAATTTTGAAATTTTGAAGAAATTTTCACCTTTGGATTTTCTTCTTCCAAGGACTTCAAAGTTTCACCTTTGGATTTATTTTTGTGGGGAGCCGTAAAAACCACAGTTTACAAAAACAAATATTCCAATTTAAATGCACTTAAAGAAGCTGGTATTAGAGAATTTGAAAATATTGATGGTCGGTGCGCAAGAAATCAACTTATTCAGTTTTAAAGCGTTACAATGTTTACATTGATAATAATGATGGACTTTTTGAAAATGTTTTACAATAAAAATTAGAGTTTCTAGAGTTAAATTTTAATTATTATTGGTATGATTTGATTTTTATAATAAACACTTTAAATGAGCGGCCGTTAACGTATGTAGTTGTCAAAATAAATACTGAAGCATGCTGTTATTATTTGTTGCTATGGAAACGATGCTGTATGTCTTATACTATTTTCCATGACTAACTTCGATCAACTAAATTGAAAAAGTATAAATTGTCCGCAGATACTTTATTTTCGAAAAAAACCTAACGATGTGATATAGGTATCACAGAAATCGTAATAAAATGCTCTATTCGGTAAAGCAATAATCAAGCATGGTTGCTATTTAAAGAAATTCAAATTTGTATCACATGTCAAAAATTACAGTTATTTTGGAGAAGTGTCTTATGCCATTTTGGTTGGAATTCAATTTCCTATACTACAGTTTTCTATTTAATGTCTTCGTGTCATATTAATACCAACGGAACTAGGAGTAATTTAAAAATTTACCATAAATACTTTTTTTCCAAATATATCTTGACAGCTGCAAAATTTTCTAAAAATAAAATTGGTTATGGGTAGAGCATTCAAAACTACAATTCTTTGTCCACTTGACCTTCTTCGTAATTGCTCTAGTTCCGAAGATCCCTGTACTAGTCATCGAAAAGAACTCACCCTGTATAAGTATACGAACGTTTTTTCGCGAAATAAACTTGTTTTAAACTGGAAAACATGTATTTACCAAAGTTTGCGTCTTTATATCTTGTTGGTATTCTCCGCGTTACTATGGTTACCTCTTTCTTTAGGTCCCCACGTCTTGTTGATATTCCCTGCTGCCATAGTTACCTGCTTGCTAAATCTTCGATGGGCGTTGATACATATTATTAATTTCCTACAGTATAATTATTTATACTGTAGGAAATTCATTTGTTTAAACAACGGGACCCTAAAAAAGCGGTTTTTAATCCTATTCGATTCTGTTCAAATAACAATCGTCTAGAGATAACAAGCGCAATCGAACCACCAATCACCACGCCTAATTGGACGTATGCTTATTATTAATTATTAAAGCCAATATGTTTATCAGGCAAATGTCAATGCTTTCCTGTTTTTCCACTGGTTTTTTTTCTGATTCTAATGAATAAAATTATCAATACCGTTATTTGATTTCATGTTTTTTCTTCTAGTATTATCACAAGTTTCTTTGTTTGTTGCAGTGCGATATAGGCCAGGATACGGACGACGAAGATGTGGGATTGGGTGTGTCGCACGGATACACCAGTTGCACTCAAGTCAAGGAGAACAGCTTCAATGAAGACATGCAAGCCAGATTGGCCGTGTTATCATATGAGCAGATTTGCAGACTGAATGATGTCATGGGAGAAACAGTAAGTGTATTCTGTTATTCAATGTTTTTCCTACGGCGCAGAAAGCAGCTGATATTTGAGTTCTTGATGAGCTAAAGGATAGAAGGCTATTTCACGTGAAAAAGACGCGATAGTTACCAATTTTGCCACGTCAATATCACGGAAATATGTCATAGAAGAATGACGTACATGAACGTCACAGCTCATTCAAACTGTCACTTTTTGTGGCTTGTTTTCTCTTAAAATGTGTTTAGCACATTAAGCACAATTTTTTTTGGGGTGGTGGGTTTGGGTGTTTTTAGTAAGTGTTCTATATTCCTTCGAGTAGTAAGTAATTTGTTTATGAAAAAAAATAATTTGATCTGGGTTCCGCTCTTGCATGTAAAGGCCAAAAATGTTTTTTTTGAACAGCCATTTCAAATGAGTTGATTTATTTATTTCTCATCTCGAAATATTTGTCTTTTGGCATAGTTCCACTGAATTCAATAGTACTTGCGGCTTATCGAAAAAAAAATACAATTTCAAATAACAGCTTTTGCTGATCTTCCCATTCTGGGATAAGTTCCGCTTTCCACCCTCTGGCCATTTTTCTTCTGCTGCCTATAAGGATCAATGTTTCAGTTCTGAGGCTCGATGCGTTTAATTTATTGGAAATGACTTGAATTTTTTATCGAGAAGCCGTTTTGAGTCGCCAATTTTAGAATTTAATTTATAGTCGAGTTTAAATATAGTATTTTTGACGAATATTTAATGATTTTAAGCACGAACAACAGTTTACATCTTTTGTAGTTAGTTTCCGATTGTTTTATGATAAAAGGGTTGTTTAAATGCCCAATTTTAGAATAAATCAATAAACAACAATAATCGAAACACTCGATAATTTAGCAACTTGAAAGTAGAGGCGAAAAAGCGAAAAAGTCAGGATTATATTTCTTTAATTAGATTCGAAATATTTAGAAGATTTTTTTCGAAATCTGTTCAAAAACGAGATTAGCGGGCTACATTGACCTAAAAATGAAATCAGAAAGTAAGAAATCTGATATACTAAATAAAATAAACTGCAGAAATTCGGAACTTATCCATTGATAAAACAAGGCAGCAGAGAGCAGAAGAAAAAAAATGAGAAGCAAGAAACCCTTTGAAAATATTAATATAAAGTGGAAATTACCAATAATATTTGGATTTTTCTTATAAAGGACGACTTGAATAAATTCACCGTTTGCCTCGAAAATGGCAAATTGGTTTAGTGGAAAAATTTACCAGCTTTGTGTAACCACAAGCACTTGGGTTTTCCTCGAAGCAATCGCCACCTTTGGATAGGAAATTAAAAATGAAGGATTTAGTGGGAATAATTGTCATCTTTATCTTTACACACTACATAATATTTGCACGTTGTTTTCAGATAATCAAAATAAATTAAATTAAATTATACAAGTTCACGTTCAGGTTGATTTTAAATATTCAGTAGTATTTCCATGTTTCCCTGCTTCAATTCTTCGATATTATCTTTTATCTCGTATTGTCTTTGCAAAATAGTTCACCCTGGTGCTTTCTATTCTATTTGCCTGTCGGTGTTCTAAACGTGTTTTTTAGCCTGCTTTAAGAGAGAGTGTAACTCTAAAATCAAATTTAAAAAAAAATATGCATTTGCACTGTTCACGGTCACTGGTGACTGTGCTGATTTTTAAGGAATTTTTGAATTTGCTTTCAAAACACCAGTCGATGTTTCCTCGAAGGAAAATCTTTTCTCGAAAGACAAAACTGCGACCGATAATTTACTTGAACCGTTGAATAGAGAAATTTCACACTCTCTTGAGCGAAAATCTTGATTTTTCAAGAATTTTTGAATTGGCTTTTACCAGTTGGTGTTTCTCATAAAATGCGCACTTTGCAGCGTTTTCTAGCGAAAATCGTTGCTCAAAAGCCAGAAGGGTGACCAAGTATCAGTTTGCGCTGTTGAATAGAGAAACCTTCACTCTCTCTTTGATGCAAGTTTCACTACGATCACCAATTTTTCTCAATTTTTAGGAATTTTTGAATTTGTTTTTACCAGGTGGCGTGTTTTATAAATGCTGTACTTGGCAGCCTTTTTTTAGGTAAAATCGTTTCTCAAAGGCAGAACCGCGACCAAGTTTCAATTTGCACCACTGAATTCCACTACGTCACTACGATCAACAATTTTTCTGATTTTCCAGGAATTTTTTAATTTGCATTTGCCTGTTGGTGTCTAACTTAGCTGTTCTATAAAACAGTGTAACTTAAACACCAGAACTGCGACTAAGTATCTATTTACGCCATTGGACAGATAAAACTTCATTCTGTCTAGGTCAAAAGTTTCATTGCCATCGACGTTTGCACTGATTTTCCAGAAATTTTTGAGTTTGGATTTCCCAGTTGCGATTTTTGCAAACTGTTCTAAAGGAGATCGTGACTCGAAAAGCCAAATTATTGTAACAAAATTTCTAATTGCACCATTGATATAGAAAATATCACTTTCTCTTGGACGCAATTTTCACTACGATCAGCAATTTTTCAATTTTCTTTTACCAGGTGGCGTGTTTCATAAATTCTGCACTTTGCAGCTTTTTTTAAAGGAAATCGTTTCTCGAAACGCGATTAGCAATTTTTCTGGTTTTTCAGGAATTTTTCAATTTGCAGTTGCCTGTTGATCCATTTATTTTCCTTGTCCTTTCTGTTTCGTTTTATGTACGTAAGTATGACAGCAAACAACTTTTATCTCAGCTTTCTGTTTAAGTCATAAATCAGCAGAGTTGCATTTTTTGTTATTGCCACATTCGCACTGATTTTTATTGCATATAATTAGAAGCCAAGCTTATTTTCAGAAATTTCCAATTAGAAAATGAAAAAAATAGATAATTTTGATCTCTATACCGATATCAAACAGCTTGGCATTAGTTTAGCTCATTTTGTGCGATGTACTTGAGCTGAGAAAATAAAGTTGGAAACGAAACATGCTTTGTCCCTATGCAACCTTCTTTGATAAAGTTATATGGAATATTTTAATTCATTTTTTTAGGGTTCACCTAATTTATATTTCGAAATATTCACTGGAATTTTTTGTTCTAATATTATTTCTGTCTTGACCAGTTTTGTTGTTGTTTTTTGTTTACATTGTTCACCTCTATTTTATAGTCCTTATCATACATATGGATTGTTAATTTACTTCGTTGTCCTCTTCCAAATTTCTTTAATCAATTGACGGCTTATTCCGATCTTTATTCTTTTGTGTACTTAGCGGCGTCATCAAGGATTTTCCACTAAGTGCGGATGGGTACTTAAAAATGATAATTTCAAGTGGAATTTAAGTAGTTAATCGCTACTTTATTTTGAAAATTAAGTGATGTGATTATCTTTCGAAAACAAAATTGTCAAGTTTCTGCGCCACGTCATACGGCGAAATGCAGTATAAAAGCCCCCTTTTCCTCTGATTCTGAAAATATATACAGGGTGGCCAAGATGAAACCAAAACCGTAAACAATACGAAGCCGGATCAATTAGGAACAAGTTGCGAAATCAGGGGGCCATATACATGGCGTTCTCAAAAACCAAGTTTTTCTTTTAATTTTTGAAATATTTAGAAAAAAGTGATTTTTCGGATTTGAATTTTAATTCATTATCACTTCAAATCATATCAAAAAAACAACAAATACTGGATCTTGGGACATTTTTTCATGTTGTTCGATTTTGCTCCAGGTGAGCATCGTAGGCAGAGGCAACTTTCCAACACTGGAAATCCGACTAAGAGATCTGGTGGAAATCGTGCGCGCCAAACTGGAAGGCGATCCGAGTGCTGGAGGTGCTGGCATGCAAGTGCGCGATATTCGCCTAAATGGAGGAGCAGCCTCTCATGTTCTGGCAGCTGGTAAGTCTTCCGCAAATTGCCGAGCTATTCAATCTTAGTACCCGAATCCATGCCCATCTAGGCCAAGACCAGCCGTACAATGACGTGGATCTCATATTTGGAGTGGAGCTGAGCTCACCTAGAAACTTCGACAAAGTCAAAGCTGCTGTGCTCAGCTCCCTGTACGATATGCTACCGGATGGAGTAAGTCGGAAGCGAATATCCACATGTAGCCTGAAGGAGGCGTATGTCAGTAAAATGGTCAAGGTGAGCGATTCTCCTCCAGCCAGCTCTTGGTGGTTTGCAACTGTGTTTTTCCAGGTGAACAACCCCTCAGACTCAGGTGACCGTTGGTCCCTAATCTCCTTGGGCTGTCAGCGTGGTAGAGGCGTCGAGCTAAAATTCGTTGATCGAATGCGCCGACAATTCGAGTTCAGCGTGGATTCGTTCCAAATTGTCCTGGACTCTTTGCTCCTATTCTACCGTTGTGCGGCTCCTGCCGATGACGAAACAGCGCATGTTTCCCGAGCGCCACCAATCAGCGAGAACTTCTACCCTACTGTAGTGGGCGAATCGGTGTTCGGGGACTTTCGCGAGGCGATACACCATCTACAGAAGCGCCTAATTTCCACCAGGCGACCAGAGGAGATTCGAGGGGGCGGCCTACTGAAATACTGCACTTTATTGGTCAAGAACTACCGGCCAGCTCGTCCCGATTATATAAAGTCATTGGAGAGGTGAGTGTATTTGCGACGATTGTATACGTAATTCGTTATCACCTTTTAAGTGATCTTAGAGCTAATCTTGGGTCAGACTTACTGAATTGCGGTTAGTCCGAGATAAAAGAATTGTTATTATCAAGAGATTATTTATGACCGGCGGCCGCTTTACTCCAGGTTTGCACACGTTAGTTTGGGAGCATTCTCATAAAGGATTGGAAATTGCTGTGTTTCTCTCCGGATTAGGACCATTTTGTGAGCGTTTGTTACCCGACGCGAGGACGCACCGCACAGAAGCGTGGCTATGAGCATAAAAAATATTTTTTTTGTCACATAAAAGGCACACTTTCAAAAACTGGTCAAAATCGCCCAGAAGCCTAAATTTTGCCACCTTGGTGAACATCAGTGTCAACTTGGTTTTTGCCCATTTGCGTTACCTGTTCTAAAAATTCGCACTTTTCAAACAAAAGCAAGTAGCAACTTGACATTTTTAGCATCACTAGAAAAGACTTGACCCAAGCGATTCTCGATGTTTGACAAAAATCTTCCAGAATTCTGAATTTTGCCACCTTTGTAAACATCAGTCTCGACTTGGTTTTTGCTCATTTGTGTTCCCTCCTTTAAAAATTCGAAATTTCTAACCAAAAGCAAGTAGCAACTTGAAATTTTCAGCATCATTAGAAGACACTTGAACCAAGATATTTTAGAAGTGTCACAAAAATCATCGCACAGAAGCCTCAACTTGGCCACCTTAGTAAACATCAGTTTCAACTTCGTTTCTGCCCATTTGCGTTCTCTTCTTTAAAAACTCGCATGGTCCAAACTATAGCAAGTGACAACTTGACATTTTTACCATAATTAGAAGACACTTGACCCAAGAGATTCTGGAAGTTTAACAAAAATCGCACAGTTAGTGTGCGAATATTCTCATAAAGGATTGGAAAACGTTGTATTTCGTTCCGCATTACGACCATTTTTGTGATTATTTGTTACACGATGCGAGGACGCACTGCACAAAAGCATGGCAAAAGGCATAACAAATAGTTTTTTTTGTCACATAATAGGCACAATTTCAAAAAATGGTTTCAACTTCATAATGCAAAATATATGTGAAAATCGGCCCACTACCATTAGAAGCAAGGATAAGTGCCTCATTTGTCTTTCTTTGAACTCTGAACAATTTTTAAGAAGTAACCAAATTGATGGGGTTATAAATTGTTGACTGCTAGTTCAGGCAGTTCAGGTTACATAGAATGATTTAAACAAGGTTCCAGAACCAAACTGGCAGGAGGAGACGGATCGGAAGGATTTGGGATCGGGTGCATGCAAAGTTCTTGAAGAAAATATTTATTTTATTCTTGCTTGATTTGCTCTTGAGACTCAGAGACACAAGGATTAAAGCTAATGGTACTGTTAGTTTGGGTTAGTAAGTAAAAAATTGCAAGCAATTTGGGAGAATCTGGGAAAAAACGACGAAAAATATGAACAACCATCATATTTCCGAAAGTGAAGGTTGCGGAGAGTGAAGCAAATGAACAAGGGGATAAGTTTATTGCTATATTCCGGCATATTTTCAACTGGCACAGGAAAATCTCAAAAAAATCATTCAATAAAAAAATCAGCTAATATAAAAATGACTGCGAGAAATGAAAAAAGAGCATAGCAATGATTTGTGGCGATATTGCCAGTATAGTACCTACATCTATTGTCTAATTTGCGAGTTTGGGATTTTTCCAGTAAAAGCAAAGAAAATTTGAAAAGAAATCTAACCTAAAAATGTCTGGCTCATGTGCTTTTGATGGTCAAAAGTTCTTCAAAAATGATGTTTTTCGAACCACCGGGAAAATACCGGACGGATTTGAATGAAACGGATGTAAATTTGTTCCTATGTTGAGGCTCAGGTTGTTGAAGCAACCGAGTTCAATCGATTTGGGCAAGAGGTGAGTGTTTTGGTATTGAAAATTGAATCACTAATAATTTGTTTACATCTTTGTACTCTTTGCAAAGTGTTGTCGCATTCATAGTTTTTGCGCAACAAATTCCATATTCAGCAACTACGTGACGCTCTAAGCGTGGAACCAATACCTATTTCTAGTGAACTTCAAAAACCTGATCAAAGAAAGATTGAATGCAGCCCAAGAATGCCGGCTTTGAATAATTAGGAGCATAGTCGGAACGACGGCTTATGCAATTTATGTGACTCCACCACACCTTTTTTTCAGAGATTTGCATTTTAAACCTTCGCTGTATGATTTACAAAACTTGTTCTTGGCAGAACAAGTTGGTTCGTTTGTGACTTTTTGAAAAAGATTTCCGTCTTATTTCTGCTTTCCAGTTTACATTCATTTTGCATAATAGCTTTAAAAATTAAACGGCAAGTTAACATTTCAACTTCGTCATTTGCATCAAATCCAGCAAATCCACGGCTGAAAAGTGCAATTGGTCATACACAATGGTACACATTTCACGAGCTGGTTCGTCTCAGATGACCTAAGCGTAATAAAAAGATACGATGTCTCATGACGCAATTTGCTAAAGTGGATCAAACAATCTCCTTGGGATTTAATACTTTCTTACTTCGCCTTCGAGGTCATAATGATATTTTCCAGCCTACCGTTTGAACCTAATTGGTCGAGTTGAAACAAATCTAATCTATTAACACCGCGACTGTGCATACATTGTAATGTGTATTAAAACCGATGCAGAATTGACCGTCGTTGGCCTTTCACACTCTTTTAATCGACATTCGCAAGTCAATTATTACATAAACTGGCCAGCGGCTATTTGGGATGAAGCAGAAGAAAAAACCACGCGTTTGATTGGAATGATCGCATCAACGACGCGAATTTCATTGACCCAGAACTGATGTCAATTGCTTTTTGCAGGGGGCTGCCTTTCGCTGTGCAAAGGTTGGGCAAACGAAAGGAACGCGATTTTTCAAAGGCCAAGGGCGATGGATAACTAACCACAAACCACAAAGTTCCCCAATCCTTTATGAGAATATAAATAATTTCTTGATAATAACAACAATTCTTTTAGCTGAGACTAACTGCAATTGAGCCTGACCCTCTTTTATGAGCATCAGTACAGAGATCTTCTTGAAACAGCCCACTTACAGCACCTTATTCTATATGAGAAAACGATGATTTTTTATTCGCGGCAACATTCATGTAATGCAGGAACTTTTTTGTCCATTAAAGTTCACTTCAAGCCGATACTAATATGTAATAACTAATGCACAGCGAATATAACTTTCTAAAACCGTATCTTCAGCATCAGATGCAAAGTCCACAAAAGTACATTTTTCAGGAGATGAAAAACAGTTCAAAGTTTGAAATATTTGTGTTACATGAAAAACCGAAAGTAAAAAGTGGGTTTTTTTTAAATCAATCCATGAACTAAAGCAACATGCGCTAGTTAAATCGTCACTTATTCCGGACGTAATTTTGATTTTTTATATAATATTGATAGTTTCACATTTCAAGTAGTACGATAACGAAAAAAGCATGCAAAATTAGTTGCAAATCCATATATTACGAGGAAAATGTAAACTTATTTTTTCTATTCAAAACCAACAATACCAATATAATTTATCTATTATTTGCTTAATCCTTATATCAAGAACTAGAACTCAGAAGATGCGTATTTTCCTCCAATCTAATCATGCTCAAGGGAATCATAAAATCCACGTTAATCTTGCTCCATCCTGTTTTTTAATGTTTGTAAGTGGAGAAACGTTTTATTGCTGTTTCATTTTTAACTTATTTTTATAGAGGCTTGGGAGATTTTACGTTTTTGTAAATTTTATATTCTTCCTGAATTATAATAGTTAATGTTGTGGTTAATTAGTGACCGTGATGATAATCAGTAAAAGACGCCTATTTAGGTTTATGGGTTTTTTCGGTCATTAGATAGTGGGAAAAAAAGTTTTTCATTTTTGCCACCATCTATTGACCGAAAAAACCCACTAACTTAAATAGGCGTCTTACTGATTATAGTTAATTCCTCAGAACGTTCCAGTTTAAATTCAATCGAGCCTTCAGATTGATTTTAGTAGCATCGCTTAGTTTGCATACAGGGCGGAACGAACCAACAAAATTAAGCTTAGAGAAATCTTTAAAATTACAATGTTGTAAATATTGACCTCCCAAGGTTTTGGTGTTTTTCCTGGCAGTTTTTGCTTCATAAACATAATATGCCGGCACATTTATAAATCTTCTTTAAATTTTTCTTTCAATACAGAACTGTGTTTCTTCTCGAAGTGTTTTATTTGAATAATAAATTATCTAGGTTTTGTTTTGTATTAAAAAAAACTGCTGGATTCAATTATTCTGCTTACACTGTCGCCTTTTCTGTTTCTCCCCTTTTTTTATGTCAGCTGTCGTCGTGTTTCTTTCCAACACAGATTTCACAATTTGTGAAAAATGCATAATATTTCTTCGCCTTTAATTTTATGAAATAATCAAATGCATATTTTTCCTTTTAAACATTGCCAATGTTTTTATCTACTGCATTTTTGCTGTAAATCTATTGCCGTTTCAGCTCGGTCCCTTTTCTCTCTTCTTTTTATTACCATTATATTCCCAGTGGTTAGTTTTACTTAGTGGGTTTTTGCTGAGTTTCCATTTTTCATGTGATTACCCAAAACACCTTTTTTCCTCACATTTCTCATTTCCATCGCTTTCATATCTTTCACCTGGTAAGTCACTTCGGTAGTTTTTTTCTATTCTTCTAAACTCAGTTCACTTGCAGCTCTCTCCTTATCTAAATTGCTGTCGTTTTGTGCTTTTATTCAATTAAATCACTGGAATTGGTTTTTGCGCTGTTATCTTATCATGTTTCATATCATCATTGTTTAAAGAAACATTTTCACATTCTTTTTGTAAATTATCTTTTGCAATGGATCGTTCAGTATCATCTGACCATGATCACCATGATTAGAATTAACATTTTCATGTCGTTTTTTAGTATTGAAATTATTGGTTTCACTTTCGATAAGAACTTTGCATATAATGTTAAAGCTTCTTGAACTTGAAAAATTTCGACATTCTGCGTTTCATTAAAGATTCTCCAAATCTCTATTTCCCGTGAACGCAATCCACTACCATCTTTGCAAATATTACTTTACAGCTCTTTAACATCTTTTCTATGTTTTTTTTCTTCTTTTTCACGCCTCAGTGCCTTTTGTTTGGTTCTTCCATCAGTTGAATCATCCTTCTAATTCTACTACGTTCGTTCTTTTTTTTATTGCTGCGATTGTGTAAGAAACCCTCACAAAAATTGTCCTAATCCGGAGATAAGAAAACCATAAGTCAAAAGCCCGTAAAAAGCTAGTCACGTAAATTCCAATAACTAGTTACTCTTCTGTTAAAAACGGTGCCAATTCACTAGCGTTATTTAATACACTTAGGTTTTATTCTTTCAATTTTTAAATCGAAAAACCGTACGATTAATTCGCATTTTTGCACTGTCAATTACTTATTAAGACTTACGATTGCTTCAGCTTATTTTTTTCAAGAAAAAATAAGCCAGGTATTTCTATTTCACGAATTAAGCTCACAAATTCAGTGTGATTCAAAAAACTTGAGTTTTGCACGCTTTGATAATGTTGATTTGAAAATGAGCGCATTCACGCAACTGCATACTCTTCATTAAAAAAATTCCAGCTTCCAAAGTAAAGCCAGTAGAAATTTGAAATATGTAGATTGTTTAAAAGAAATTTTGGCGTAAACTTGCACTGAAATGTCCGATATTCAAATTTCGTGTGACTTTTTCGGACAAATCCTCGCACGTTGTACCTACTGTTGTTGTTTACTCACGCAAATGCGGCCTCATGTTTCAATCGTTTTCGCAATTCCAAATAAAAACAGGCAAATTTAAAACTCTTGACTTTTTTTAACGAAAAACATAAAACCGGAACCCATATTTGCACATCTGAAACGGTTCTTTGGGGACAAACTTCAGATGAAATTGTTGTAAAAATACAAAGCCGCCCCAAATATTCCCAAACTTTAAACATTTTTTGTGAAGGAATCAATGGTCTAATCGGAACCAAATCCACACTATCCGTAAGCTGATGCTTCTTTTACTGAATACTGAAACCCGAATTTCCATATTTGAAGCGGTTCTTTAGTGAAAAGCTTCAGATGAGCATGATATAAAAATCCTAAGCCGCCCAAAATATCCGCAAGGTTTAAAAATTAACTACGAAAGAGCCAATAGCTCAACATATACCAAATCGACCCTACGAGTCAGTTGATGAATATGGGACTAAAAGATCTACAACTACGTGACAACCAGGGGCAAAGTAATGCTAAACTTACCAAAAGCTGTGTAATGCCACCTGGAAAAAAGAAGAAAATGTGATTAGTAAACTAAAAAATCTGTCCATAACTAAACTTATTTGAAATCATCAAATCAAAGAGATAAATAAATCATCCATAAAACTTCAGTTGCTTGTCGGAAAACTAAACTCAGTTCAAGCAAAAATATTTATAGATTAGAAACCATTCGGAGCAGCTCTTTACAAGCTGGCGCCCCATCCTCCATTTTCTACCCTTTAATTCGCAAGAAGTTTACTATACTTTCACAAACCATCGCACTTGCTATAAGGGCCACTATGATTCCATATTTGTTAGTAGCAAATTTCAGTTTGCTCATCATTCATACACTTTTTTGACAAAAAAAGACATCGAAATACAGAATAAACATGATTATTTAATCATTTACTTGTTCGTCATTTCGTTGATTGAGGCTTTACTTGGCGGTTCGATTTCAGTTTGTTTATTGTTGGCATTTTTGTAGAAAGTGCCTGTTTGCATTGCAATATTTCCAAAGGAAAATTTCACGTTCAGACTTAACGAAAGTCAACAACAACTAAACGGAAAACGCTCCAAGTGCCGATCGTTCATTAATTTAATTTTAAATTTAGACCCATTTATATTTGTCTGGATTTCACTCAATTGCAGTGATTAATCCACAACGCCAAAACTGAAATTAAAAACCGAATTAATTTTCTTTTGCTAAAAATATTGACTAAACAAAAAACTGCGGGGAAATCACTTAAAAATTAAACTGTTGCTCAATTTCCGAGCGATGATAGAAACCAACGAAATTTCAACTAATTAAAGAGTTCTGGTTTCAATAATTATTCTTTGACAAGCGCAATTCCAGGTGCGATGCAGTGAGACGCGATGAGACCAACTCACAGCGCGGCATCAACTCAACACAGTGTTACCCAGGCTGTAGATGATACCTTTTCTAGCACTTTTTCTTAGTGAAATTTCCCGCTTCGTTTTGGGCAAGAAACGGCATCCATAAAAATTTAAAAAAAGTTTGTACGTAGCTAAAACGTTGATTTCTTCATTGCAGGTACATGTGCTCTCGCTTCTTTATCGATTTCCCGGACGTAGTTCAACAACGATCGAAACTCGAAACGTATTTGTGGAATCACTTTGGCAGCGGACATGAAGAGTCCTCATCCAGACACCGATTCCTGCTTCTGCTGCACGATGTCGTGTCACAAAGCACCGTTTGCTTAATGGGTCACGAGCGTAGACAAACGTTGCAACTCATCAAGAGCCTAGCTTGGCAGGTAAATAATCGGAAGCGCAATTACGCAATTATCTCCTAATTTCTACGTTCAATTTTAACGATAAATGATGAGCCGCATTTGGAGACAGGATATTTATTTTTAGGCTTTGATGATTCGACAATAATAATAAAAATGACCTCTGAATTTACTTTGATAAACTCTCCGGAGATTTCTCTGCTTGTCGGTTGCTCGGTTTTCCTGATAAGATTTATTGCAAAAAAAATCCCGCCGGTTGAGCATAGTAACAAAGCTGCGGTTTTCAACTTGCAGGTTCTCTATCAGGATCAGTCGCAGCAGCAACAGCAACATCAACAACAGCACCTGCTGACTGCGCCCAATGCAGCACCCGCTCAAGCCCCACCTCTAGTTATAGCCAATGGCTACATTTACGCTCCAATCACGATAGCCACGCCTCCTTGCCAGTTCTGCGGATGTGGCTCTACCTGGATGACTTGCTGCAGCACGTGACCTGATCGTGATCATTTGGAATCGTTCGAGTAGTTTTTCGAACGTATTCATCATCAGCGTCCTTTTTGGTTTAGTGTTCGCAGGTCGAAGAAGGGCGAGTAATGAATCACAACGTTATTTTATTTCATCAAAAATTTCGGGCCCAAATCACCCCCAGGTATGCTGTTTTGTGAGAGTCCACGATTTTCAAGAAGCCTTTTCCTTCGAGAAAATAATTCGAGTTTAAAGTACAAAAAAAAGATTCTCCAAGGGAAATATATTTTTGTGTCCAAGTATGATCTCAAGCCTCTCAGCAGCAGGGCGTGTTTGTCTTGAGGGAAAACGTGCATTTTCACTTGCTTTTCTTCGATATTATTTGGACAACAACATAAATATTATGCCCAATCTCTCGCGCCAAAAAATGTAAAACATTCCTCCTATAGGGCGACTGAGAGGTTGAATTCAATGCGTTGCAGAGCATTACGGTAGTTTTAGTCAACTCGTTTCAAACACTTAATCTACTACATTTTAGCCATTCCAATTGCAATTTTGCAAGGAAATTATATCGGCAGTCGGCGTGCCATTTATACCCAATTTGCTGCAGTTTTTCATTGATCCGCTGCTCCTTTTGCAGTAAGGAGCACGGCATATTCATTCAAAAGCTGTCGTAGAATTGCGACAGGATTTGCCATCGGCGCCATATAATTTCCACAAAAAATCTAATTAAAAAAAACAATCAATTACCTACCTAAAAAACTGTGACAATGAATGTTCGCTACCTAAAATCAATTGTTACAGCCCTACGCATTTCAAGAAAAAAATAATGCGACCCGACTTTCTAGGTTGTTGTAAGGCTGTGAAACAAATATTATTTTGGTTGTGTATCGAGATTATAATCTAACTTTGGAGCGATAGTTCTCACCTTTAATTAGCTAAGTTTCTTCACTTGCTTGAACGTTTCGGTGCAAGTAACTTTAACTTAAAAAAATGATGCGCGAATCCTTAAGTCGATGTTGGCTTTCGTTGCACAAGTTTGACTACCCTGAATCTAAATAATCTCACTTCTGGGTTAAATTTTTTGAACTACATTGCTACAGGGTGGATTATTTTATATGTTTCTATGGAAAATCTTGGCTGATTTATATTCTTTGTAGGTTATTGACTCCATAAATGCAAAGTTCCCTCCCCATTCTTCAAGCACTTTGGTGATTCAAAATGTAACCGGTTTGTCCCATAAGCGGATTTTTATACATACAGGGTGGCGCAGAGGAATTTTTTCACTCAAGTAAATAGGGCACGTTTTTTAGAATGCGTTTCAATTAGATAAAATGTTTAAAGAGAGTTTCAGAGAAAATTCTGTGCTAAGAATCGCAATAATTTGTAGTTGCATCAGTTAGGCGCAGTAAAAATTTGCAAAAAAGACAAAAAAAATAAAATATGTACATTAAATGACCAGGCACCGTACTAGAAATAGTGTTTTTCTCAATTGTATAACAAAAATTTCGATTCATTCTAATCAATTATCATGCAAAGTTCAGCACAATGAACATCTGAAAAATTTTCAGACCAACATTGAAATTAGATTTTTTGCCAGTCATTTACCAAACAATAAAATTAGCACACAACAAAAAAATTAAAAATTGACAATTTTGGAGTTTTCTGTGAAATTGGTCGACCCCAAATTAAAAAAAAAAAATAGTTTCTTAGATTAATTCCATATAGAATCATAGAAATTGACCCACTTTGAACAATCTGAATTTATCGGTCTTAACTTTGTTTTTACTCATTTGCGTTCTCTCTTTTAAAAATTCGCACCTTCCAAGCCAAAACAACTAGCAAATTGAAATTCTACTTAGAAGAGACTTCACCCTCGAAATGTTAAAAGTTTCGTAAAAATCGGCCGCAAGCCTGAATTTTTCCACGTTACTAAATACTAGTCTCAACTTTGTTTGTACGCATTTGCGTTCTTTTCTTGAAAAATTTGTATCTTACAAACTAAAGCAAGTCACAACGTAAAATTTGCAGCATGATTAGAAGACACTCGTTCCACGAGATTCTGAAAGTTTCACAAAAATCGCACAGAAGCCTGAATTTTTGCCACCTTAGTAGATATCAGTCTCAATTTTGTTTTTACGCGTTTGCGTCCCCTCCTTTAAAAATTCGCACTTTCCAAACCAAAGCAAGTAGCAACTTGAAATTTTCAACATCATTAGAAGATACTTGACCCAAAAGATTCCGGAAGTTTCACAAAAATCTGCCAAAAGCCTGAATTTTGCCACTTTGCAAACATCAGTCCCAACTTGGTTTTTGCCCATTTGCCTCCTTTAAAAATTCGCACTTTCCAAACAAAAGCAAGTAGCAACTTGACATTTTCAGCATCATTAGAAGACACCTGGCTCAAGAGATTCTGAAAGTTTCACAAAAATCTCCCAGAAGCCGGAATTTTTGCCACCTCAATAAATATCAGCCTCAAATTTATTTTCACTCGTTTGCGTTTTTCTTCAAAAATTCGCACCTTCCAAGCAAAACAAAAGACTTGAAATTTTCAGCATCTCTAAAATGCACTTGGCCCTACAGACGCTGAATAAGGTTCATAAACAAAGCCCAGAAGTGTGCATTTTACCACCTTAGAAAATAACTTGCTGTAATCGAGAGAAAATCCACAGGCTCAAATTGAAAAAATGCACTGAAAGCCGGCACTTTATTGCCTAAAATTTCATAAAGACAAGCACAGCATTCCGTTAAATATCAACTATATTCGGCGCGTCCAATTCATGTAGCATCTGTTTGACGCGCCGACTATAGTTTTGCTCACTTTTGACAGCCAAAAAACGAAAATCGACGAATCACTAATTATTTATGATCGCTCAAACACTACTTGCATGTACGATCCAAATTCCTATTGGGCTTATTGTTTCGCTCAATCTTTACTCATATTAAACGCTATCACTTTCAAGGATCTTACTGCAACACTGACAGGGTGTTTTGCAAAGTTAGCAAAAAATCTGCAAGCTAGATTTTTAAGTGTGTTATTTGGGTTTTTATCTAATATTAATAAACACCCTGTATTATACCCGGGCTAAGAAAATTTAAGTCCGCAATATTAACAAAATAATTCAGCAATTGTGCAACTATTACTAATCCTCTCTTTCAACATCTCAGTGAGCAGTTGTAAATATATGAAATTTTCACAACTATTTACTTAACAATTGAATTGAACCTAATGCATTTGTGTGGTAGATTGTTGTGCACACGTTAGACTCTCTGAAACTGTTGCAACTGACTTTCGGTTCAGTTTAGGTAGTTGTAGCCGTAAATTTATAGAATATAAGCAAAAAATAATTATTGAAATAGAATATTATATATTGTTTCGTTGTTGTAATTGTCTCTCTTATTGTGTCCTGTATGATATTTATTGGAGACAAGGCCTCAATAAATTGCATTTAATTTCACTACCACAAATTGCTGGGGTTCTTAGCCAGTAATTGCGGTGAACGCGAATAACGAATTCTATTCGAAGACATCGATTCATAGAGAAATCGATTGGTCACCAGACACACTTATTACTATGTCACCCTAGTAATATATACATATATATACTTTACTTGATTAATTTCAATATTAATGTTTTATTCATTATTAAAGTTACCAAGAAAATACGGTGGATCCATACGTTCATTTTAGTCAAATAGCTGTAAGATTAACACTGATATTTTTTACCCGCTAGATTAATGTATATAAAGGTCACAGACAAACTGGCATATTCTTGACTCAAATAAAGGCGATTGTGAACACATGCGGTGCCATTCAAGCTTGATTTATATTAAATTAATTTGTTGCCAAAAACCCATTCAACATTGTATATGTATGTCGAGTAATTTCTAGTGCAACCCACCTCCTGTGCTATTCAGTATTAAGCAAAGTGGCAAACTATGTCTAATTTCCGATTCTAAAAAACGATATTATAAGAAAAAGCTTAAAATCGTAAAAATAAACCTTATATAAGATTGAATTTGTAATTAAAATTTATAAATAGGAACGTAGATGTACTTTAAAAAATATTCATGTGTTAGTGACGATTCACCGGTATTTTAAACATCTAAATAATATTAAATATTTTAAGAATAATCAGAGATATAAACTATCTATTTTGATTGAGGATTTTATAAATGAGCTCGCTCTGTATATTTTTATGGTTCCCAACTGCGGCCTCGGAGTATAATTAAATAAAAATGTAAAATCTTGAAAAAAATCAATAAAAATATCAGTAATAGTTGCTGTTGTTTATTCCAGTCCTACCAGTCTAATTGAACGGAAGAAAGGAACGGCCAGTGAAGAGAAAATTAAAATTTCGGCCACAACAAAGATTATGATTTCGGAGCAACTGGGCTTTGCCTAAAAGTTCTTTCCTTGGGTATAAAATATTGTCCAAAAAGAAAACACCTGAAACACGGTTGATTAGATTGGTTGAGAAGATTTATTGAAATTCCTATAAAAGTTCAATCTTTCATATTCAACGGGCCAAAAGGAATGTTGTCTCGAATCTTACTCTCAATGTTGAAATAAGTACGATAAAAGTGAGTAACAGCAGGAATTGCAAGTTAGTACATAAAACAGTGGGACCCACTTTTTACGAACAACTGTATTATTTCATTGTTTTTAAACCCTCTCTGATTAAATATGACGAAAGTATCATATTAAACAAACACGAAAAAGATACGTATTCCTGTCGACAGACTCGTTGCGTAGGCTGAATACTTTCAAATTCCTGTGCAAGTTTCGGTTATATAATTCTGGCACTCTATTGCATTTTGTCGAAAAGAATATTGCGTTTCTTCAAAAACGCCATTGCACACATTTGCGTCTATTAGGTTTTTTTCGATGTCGCAATCCATAAGGTCGAATAATTATTAAGAAAACGCTTGCATACCGTCAGATTCAATGCAATTTATGCCATTTAGATAAGCTAATTTCGCACAAGAATGCACTTATTTCTAAATGTCTTCAATCACCTGTGTGAAGAATGTTTCTCTGCTGGATCGTTAATTGTAATCGGTCAATTAACGCAACTAAAGCGCAATAATTGACGCTCTTTATGCCGTTAAATCGATGATTTTACAGAAAGTTTATATCATTATTTCGAGCGTTAACTTACTTAATTGGGTCGTCAGCGACGGTATGATTCAATTTTTCGATGTCAACTTGAAGCAATAACAGTCACATAAAAACCCATTTTGTAATTAGCGTCTTATTAAATACTAATTTACCAATAACTTATACACGGTGTCCCATATACACATGATGAAAATGCTATCAGCTCAAAAGAAATCGATCTGACCTAAGATTATTTGCAAAAAAATATTGTTGGGCAAAGTACAAAGAAAAAAATGTTTTTGTTATTCTACTCTTGAAACTTGCTGTTGACTTGTACCGAAGTAAGCGACCTTTTATCGTAAAAATACCTGCAAAACCGCCTTGTAAAATACTGGACAATTATTAAGTCACCCTGTAGATTGATTGAATGGAAGAAAATGGGATGATAATATGAAAGATAGATAAACTAAGGGCTAGAATGAATAAATGGCAAGAACAATTAAGTAATAATTAATAATATATGAATGTATGCTCATAATAACAGCCACTAAGGTTTGAGCTAATAAAACTGCATTGCATGCAACAATAAAGTTAACTTACTCCTTGCTAGATGCAGTCAGAAAACACCATAATTCCAGTAAAAAACGCGCTAACCCGAATAAGCACTAAACGGGGGTGTAAAATAAGTCGTTGGACCTAAATTCAAAGATTCTCAACAACAGACGAACGTCTAATTTTAACGTCAAATTTCTGTTCTTTGCCTGTCATTTCTGTCAAGCTATTTACCCGTGTCTTTTTAGTTTTTTCTTGTTTTATCTTAAATACGCTTTAAGCAGTTTCAGCGAAAAAATTCCTGGATGGTCCATAAATGAAACCGAAAAACACTCACAAAGTTTGAGGAAAATCACGATTTTTAGGCTAAATTTTGCGCGGCGTTGCCAAACTGCGGAAAACGTTTTAAGTTCGTAAAAATTGTTTCCTTAGATACCCATCATGTAGATCCCCTCGATTTGAGTCGGGTTGGATTATTTAAGTCTTTTCAGGTTATTAACTTTTACTTATACTTTTACTACTACACAAACAAACTAACTCAAAAGTATTCTAGCTGAGTATGGCTTCATCGTTAGAAAATTTGGAAACTCAATTAGAAATGTTTATTGAAAATGTTTGTCAGATGGATATAATAGTTAGCGATTTTCAACCACAAAGCACAGAACATACACAAGGGGGATATACACAGAGGGGATATTTTATGCCACAAAGCCAGAACGTGTTTAACCAAAAATCGTAAGAACATATGTACAGGGTGGCCATTTTCTGAATCTTTGTATGGGTAACTTCTACATTTTTAAAGATAGAGAATCCGTTAAATGGGCAAAATTGGGCAGAATTCGATTGCCTATTCATTGCCGTTTTCAGAATTTAGGTACCCGACTTGACAAACTAGCACGTGTTGTCATAGTCAACTTGATTTACGAGATAAAAAATAAACCTATGTTTTTTTAAATGGTAATCATACTTATTGTTTACATACTTACGTACTACTTGTTTACATATGTAAACATTACGTTTAACTGCGTATTAAATATTTTATTACTTATACAATTGGTTCAAAATGCCACATTTTGGCAGTGTCGTTGAATGCTCAATACGTGCTGAACGAGATACGGTTTCTTTTTTTCGATTTTAGCGGGACAGAAGAGAGAGATGATTTGAATGTTTTCTCTAGTGAACGTCGAAATGCTTGTGTTAAGGCTTTAAAACGGGCGCCTCTACGTGAAATCTATATAAGAAATGATCGTATTTGCTCGTATTGCGGACATTTCATAACTGGTAAGTATTTATACAAAAAACGTGATCTTTGCTACTGTTTATGTTTGATTGAAGGAAAACCAGCTGCCTTGGAAGACAAAACTAATCCAGATGTGTTGCTCAACGAAAATTTAGGAAACATTTGTAGTCTCTAACCAGGTCAATATGCCTGCCTTATTTAAAAGGTTTTTAAAAAGAACTAGGATGAAGCCAGGGGTTGGTTGTTATAACATTAAAAGGCATAATGTTTTTAAGCTGCTGTTTTTAGGTCCGAGCTGAAGTTGTGTTTGCATCGTGCACAAGAATTTGAAAGTGTTTCACAATTTATTGAAGAAATTTGAGCAAAGCAGATTTATGGAAGCTGTGTTAGTGAGTCAATTCAAGCTGATGTACTTTATTGAAGAATATTCAAGTCGTGTTTTGCAGAATTTAGATTTTTGCAATTCAATAATGTACATCTTGCAAGCAAAAGTTCAAGTGGTGGGTGTAAATGAGAATTCTGTTAAAAATAAATGCTTTATCCCTAACGTGTGTAGCTGATATCCTTTGAACGGTGCCAGACTCAGCATCCTTGTAAACTTGCAAATTTTTATAAGCCTTGAGCTGTAATCAAGGTAAAATGTAAAAATTACGGTTTTAAATTAAGTGATTCGCCAAATACGTAGTGATGTTGGGGGACTTATAAATATCAAGCCGTAATGACCAAGGGGGATCAAACAATAACTCTACTAACCTGTGAATATAACTGTATAGTAACTAGTAACTAGTTAGCTTTATATTCAAAGATACTAACTATATACTAAAGTACCTGGAACGGCCCCTGCCGTTGTTGAATAACGGGGAGTTTGTGTCAGGGACAACAGAGAGAGATAGCCTAATGAGACGGTGGCTTGTCTCTGCCAGACCCGTTTCGTTTTACCTGGTAAAACTGCATAAGTTAATAGTTTGTAATATTTTATATGGTTTGCGTGTGTTGTAAATTCAATCAAAATAGATTTCAACGACAGTATATGTTAGCGTGTCGAGGTGCTATTATTGTTTCCTGCTGTTTTAATAATAAGTGTGTGAAAAAGACAAAATTGTGTTTCCATAATGGTGATCTCTTGTGTTGCTTATGCCATAATGAGCAGGATTCAAGGAAAATTCCGTTTCATACGTAAGTATTAAATTCCAAATCAAATAGAGACAATAAATGACTGAAACCCAGGAATGAATTTGATTTGGAATTGAAACATAGCCAGGAAAGTATATACAATGTAAGTTTTAATGTCGTAAAGTAAATTATATTCACATTTTATTTCATGTTGCTTTTATTGTTGTAGTTTTCCATTTAAACGTCCTCAAAAACTAAAATTATGGATGCCGGCACTTCGCTGGGATAGTTGGCGTCGCCTTATTGATCAAAGCACTTGTCATGACTGCATAGAAATTTTATTAAAGAGAGCGCACCCCCCAAGCCTTTAAAAAATATTGTAGCGGAAATGGCCTGGGGTACTCACGTTTGGAATGGGGGATCGAAATTCATGGTGTTTCAGTAAATGGGAGCCCCATTTGGGCCCCATTTACTGTCAAATATGACACTGACAAGCGGGAAGTTTCGCACCTGTTCTGGAGATTTCTAGAACTATCTGGAATGCCTGGAGAAAAGGATATAAGCGACGACGAGAACCAGACCGGGAGAGTGAAGTGACAGCCGCGCCTGAGTGCAGAAGAAGTTAAACCCGCGAGTCGGAAATCCGTGTTTTCCGTGTGTTATTGTTATCGTTTGTGAAGTTGACATTAATTTTAGAAGTTAGTTTGTTCCTGTTCCGTAGTTAAAGTTGTACCGAGTGGAATAAAAGTTGTAACCAGAAGTAAGAGTTTAAATACTCGGCCATCCACTGTACAATATTTAAATTTTGTATCTCGTGGAGGTCTTCTTTATGCATCTCATACTGTGTATAAAATTCTACATTTCGCAGAAAGACAATTCCGCTTTATGTTAGAAAAGGACGAAATTTTAAAGAGTCCAATAAATGTAAAGAAGAGAATTGTTAATATGGCTATTCAATACTTTGCCCTAAACATTAATATGTTCAAACCCAACCACCCTGTATTTCAAGAATTTATGGGCTCTCAGGGGGTGAGGTGAGGAGTGCCGCGAGATTCAGCTCATCCGAAAAATTCTAGATATTTTTATAAAATGTCGAATGCACCACCACTCTTCACTTCTTAATATGAAGTTGCATGGAAATGCTGCAACAGTAAGGCAAAAAAAATGACAAAACTCATACCATTTATCAATTGTTAAAACTGAAATAAAAAAGTGTAAGTTAGAAGTTTTTTGTTAAACTGTATTTTTTTACGATAAAAATAAAGTATTTTATACCTATTTTACGTGTATTAATTTTGCTTTTACTTTTTTGCTCCTACATTATTCCACGTCAAAACTGTAATTATGATTTTTTATACCTGAAATGTTTAAGAGAGTTCAATTTTGTTATGTTTTCAGCAATAACTTAACTAACATACTGCAATTGTTTAAAAGAAAACCAATATTGCACCAAATCTCCGTATAAGTGAATGAGATAGAAAGAGACACACCCCTCAAGACAGAGGGTTGCCTACATTTTGATTTTGCCTCACTTTTATCGTGTATTGGGTCCGTTCCAGGTACTTGTATACAGTTATTGGAATAGACACACTGATTGACTTGCAACCATAGAAAAAGTAAAATAAGTAAATTAATAATAAAAATTATTTTACTTACGCTATGCTTGCGACGCACTAGAAAACATCAATCAATGGGCAACGTTAGAAAAGATGCTCAAACTTTTGCGAAAAACACAATTATTATGCATCTGAGCGACAATTTTGTATGTGGTGTTATGAATTGTTGATACTTAAACCACGATTTAGCAGTAGACCGGACAATCTCATTTTCGTGCATCAATCAGGGGTTTTGGAAAAGCGAATATCAAAAGTTTGTAAGTGTTTTTTTCTCTTACTTTATGGACTATCCAGGATTTTTGTTTCGCCGAAAGTGCTTAATTTGAAGTGTTCTTCAAAGTAAAAAAAAAAAAACCCCGAAAATTCGGAGGCCCTCAAACGGATCACTTGATTTTTCATTACAATTTGCTTCCAAAATATTAAAAATAAATTCGACACAATAATTTTTTATTCACATCTATAGGAAACATGGGTAAATAATTGACAGAAATGACAATTACTACCACAGACCATACCCCCAGGGGGGACATTTTGTGATTACTACCACACGGCAACAGCGCACGGAGCGGCTGTCAGTATTTTTTCTAGTGTAGCACGTTGTAAGGAACGTGTGAAGAATGAGGTTTGTGCTATTAATTTCGTTCATTTCTCCCTAGTTTCTTCAATTCCCCCCCATTTTTTCGTTGCCCTTCTCCCAATTACCTTACCCTTAAACCGATTCCCCGCAGGGCTGCGCCCCATTTTCCACCCCCCCCCCAATTTTCGCTTGAAAAAGCACGCTTTTCAGAATTCTAACGCTTGAAATCTGTTTTCCGCAGTTCTCTAAAGCTTCAGAAGAGGCTGGCAGCCTCAGTTTTGCGTTGCGGCAAGAAAAAAGTATGGTTAGATCCCAACGAGATCAACGAAATTGCCAATACTAACTCCAGACAGAACATTCGGAAACTCATCAAGGATGGGTTGATCATTAAGAAGCCTGTGGCAGTCCACTCGAGGGCTCGCGTCCGCAAAAACACCGAAGCTCGCAGAAAGGGGCGACACTGCGGTTTTGGCAAAAGAAAAGGTACCGCCAACGCTCGTATGCCCCAAAAGGTAAAATCCTCATCACTCAATCTTGTTCAGTTTTAATATTATTTTTCTGGTGTATTGCAGGAATTGTGGATCCAACGAATGAGGGTGCTGAGGCGCCTGCTGAAGAAGTACAGGGAAGCGAAGAAGATCGATCGTCATCTGTACCACTCGCTCTACATGAAGGCTAAGGGAAATGTGTTCAAGAACAAGAGAGTCCTGATGGAATACATCCATAAGAAGAAGGCTGAGAAGGCCCGCGCCAAGATGCTGTCTGACCAAGCCAATGCCAGGAGGCTAAAGGTGAGATAGAGTTTACGCATTTTTTACCGGAACTCTTCACACATCTCCTTACAGGTGAGACAAGCGCGCGAAAGGAGAGAAGAGAGGATCGCCACCAAAAAGCAGGAAGTTCTTCAGAACTACCAGAAGGAGGATGCAGCAGCCTAAATAAAACGGAGATCCATCCGGTGAAAAGCAACCATACCTCAAGTCCAGTTCAGGAAGAAGTGGACTTCTAGTTTGGTACTTTTTTCAATTTTTGAACTTAGTTAATAAAATAAAACGTCAAAAAACTTGAACTCTAATTGAAATCCTTAAAAAGTGGAGACATTGATGGGCTGAGGCACTTCATACTTAATTTTCCCCCTGGGTTCTGGAAAAAATCTCAAAAGTTCACAGAACGGTTTTGATAGCGCATATTGATATCTAGATTTTTCTCCGTTAATCTTTGGGTATTTTCAGAAAAGATGCATGTAAATTAAGTAATAACAATCGAGGGTAATTCAAAATTGGCGTCATTCCTTTTAAGGTACATCTCAGCTTCAGAATCTTCAGCTTCCAACTTTTATTCACCTCGGTATAACTTTAAATACGGAACAGGAACAAACTAACTTCAAAATTACCGTCAACTTTACAAACAATAACAGACGGAAAACTCGCTCTTCCGACTAGCGGGGTTAAATCTCTTCTGCACCCGGTCGTTGCTGTCACTTCAAGCCCCGTCTTGTTGTTTTTTGCAATTTTTGCCTCTCGTCGTCGCTTATATAGATTCCTTCAGGTAACCCCGATGGTTCTCGAAATCTCCAGAACAGGTGCGAAACTTCCCGCTTGTCAGTGTCATATTTGACAGTAAATGGGGCGCAAAGGGATCCATTTACTAAAATACGATTAATTTTGATCCCTCCATTTCAAACGAGAGTACCCCAAGCCATTTCCGTTACAATATTAACAGTTGAAGATCGAATTTCAACTTTGTTATTAAGCGTTATTTTGAAATTGTTCCATGTTTAATGGGTAGCATATTGGAATACTTAAGAATTCAAAAACAAAAATTACGGTCTTTGCTTCAAATTACGAAAATTTTTGATTACAAAAAAGTTCTCTTACAATTTTTTGATGAAAAGGCACAGCGGCAATGATGTTTTTTGTCATTAACAGATAGTTACAGGTGGATAGCCCTTGTCAATAATAACAATAATTTGTCAGACTGTGATTTACTGTGAATTTCCTTTCACGAATTTGCGGATATGCGTTTAGTTCAGGGGAAATGCTACAGTAAGATAGCAGAAGCTGAAAGAACTCACGCCAACAAAGGACAAGGGGAGTGGTTCCAGGAAGATAATGGACGACAATCGATGTTCGGGTTCCAAGCATAGAGGAACACGTATTGCACATAACCGAATCAGGGGCACTCAGAGCACAATAACTGACACTTTGCAAAGTTGCAGTTCCGATGAGACTGCCAGGATTTCCTGAAATAGGAAATGTAAATAGTGAATCAAATAGAGAGAAAAGTGAAGAAAAAACCATAAAAAA